CTCCTACTAATTAGCTACAAACCAAAGTCCTGCGCTAAGCATACCAACAGAGTCAATCTTGGGACTGTTCCTACTCTTCGTTTCTTTTGGTCTCCCTTTTTGATGTGACTAGTAATTTTTACATTGAATTAGAGATGTAATTTAAGAAAAATCATAGAGACTGGATTAGGGTCATCGTAGGTGCTAGTCTTCAGCGGGCAGAGACGGGCAGGCCACCCTTCTCCAATCGAGGCAAGAGTTGCCCCAAAGTTGACTGGCATTTTGAAAACCTTGAGTCTGTATGTCTGACTGCTTGAGAGTACGTCAAAGGCTGGTGGCATTGATTAGGGCCCCTGTCCTTCACAGGTGTCAAACTCCAAGTATATCCTCAGCACTGTGAGACTGTCAAATCTAATTTGCTTTTTAGTGACTCCTGAGCCTCACATATTACAAGACAAAAATCAGATGAATGCCTAAGGCAGAGGTCTCCAACATTTGCTGGCACCAGAAACCAGGCAGGGACAGACTGCTGGAAGACAAGTTTTCCATAGATGGAGTTGAGGGGAGAAGTGTGCAAATCTAGAACCTTCACATGAGCAGTTCACAGCAGGATTTGTGTTCCAATGAAAATCTAATGTTGCTGCTCATCCGACTAGAAGCTGAGTTCAGGCAGTGATGTGAGCTATGAGGAGAGGCCGAGAATACAGATGAAGCTTCCTTTGCCTGCCACTCACCTTCTGCTGTGAAGCCTGGTTCCTAGGTTCCAAACAGGCCCTGGACTATTGCCGGTCTATTGGTCATCCCTGCTTTAAGGTACAAAAGTGCCCCAAATCAGGCTCACATCCCAGGGCCTATCTTCCCTCTGAGATGTTGATCCGAATCCTGCTTTTCTAGATGTACATTTCAGTGTTTGTCTCTTCAGACTTGTGAGATCCCATTTTACCTGTAGGTGTGATCCTCTCCTTGGTTTCTTAGCTGTTCTTCCAAGCCCTAAACTGGCACATTCCCTGAAGGAAAAGCAATGTACGGACTACTGTCTCACCAGTCTATACATAGCTCCCTGCTCTCTGGGAGTCTTGGTTTTCCCAGCAGTTCTTTTTTATGACTTCAAACTATCTATGTTTACATTTTGCTTTTGTACTGTTTTCAAAGGAACTTTAATTTGTCACAAGCTGCTCCAACTTAGAAAAAGCAGAAGTCCTCAGGTTACCTTAATACAGTAATATAGCCACTTCTCCAAAAAATAATTTTTTACTCTGAAATTGGGGCTCAAATTCAAGATTAAGTACTTTAATCTACATAAACAATGCAGGAATTATCTTGCTAAGAAGTGACTACAAATGTGATTTTATATATAAGTAATCCAAACAAGACATCAACTAGTTCTTTTGATTCACTGATCTCCATTAAGCCAGATATGTTAGGAAATTTTTATAATTTGTCAATGACTCTAAAAGAAATGCAAATAACTATAAATCAGTGTTACAGTTTGGAGTACTCAGATGCTCTAGATAAATATTTGATGATAAATGGACACTAGGCAGAGAAATGGTTTCATGTAACATAGTAATAAAAAAATGACAAGACACCCTCACACTTATCAGGCAGCCAGATGACATTCTGCTGATGGAACATGAACCCACGGGTGCCAATAACAGACCACACTTCAAACAAAGGGATGGGCATTTAAATGGGGATACCACCTGACTCCAGCCTTGCTGTACAATGTCCTAGATGAAGTCCTATAAAGCAGGAGGTGAGGGAGGGCGGTGAGGAAGCTAAGTCATCCCCAGTGTCCTGTCCTATCTCAACTGGGATTTCTAGTATTTTTGAAAATTTATCCACAGAATATGTGAGCAGCCATAGTCTCCTTATCAAAAATGTTGAGGGTTCTTCAGCATTTATTCTGTGTTAGGACATGCCCTGTTAAGGCTTTTGGTCTAAGGAGTAAGGAGCTCTCCACCACATAGATAGCTTGGTACACAGCAAAGTCCAAACATAGCAATACCAAAGAGAGGATATTGTTCATGTTGGCCTCTGACATAAATTCCTCCACATTGTAAATGACAAGAGCATAGTAGCAAGTCCTGAAAAAAAGGCTCTAGAATCTTCCATATCTATAATCCACGGGTCCAATTACTAAGAGAAAATGTCCAGGGATTCAAATGATGGAGATGTGGAAATCATAAAAATATGGCACATACACTAACTACTTGTTTTTTTACATTTATTAAGTTTAACACTGAATCACAAAACACATAGAAAGATGGGAGGGTAAGAATCACCAAGGTATACAATGTGCATGTAAATCTGCCCAAACAAAATGCTTTAATTTGTATAACCAATAAAAAAGAGTGACCTTTTTTAAATAAAAAAAAATAGATCCAAAAACAAACAAAAAAATACTTTTTCAACTGGGCATACCGGCACATGCTTATAATCCCGGAACTCGGGGAGGCTGAAGCAGGAAGACTGCAAGTGTGAGCCCAGTCTGGAAAAATAAGCACTTCAAAAGAACAACCACTTCTCAAAAGAAAAGAAAATTTAGTAGGGGTGGGGACGTACCTCAATGTGGAGGCTCTGGGTTCAATCTCCAGTACCACAAAAAACCGACAAGTACACATTTCCTATATTTGGCAAACACTGTGCCAACAAAGTTATATGAAATTTGCTCATCTTCATGAGGACTCTTTGAGGAAAATAACTGTCACCATCCTCACTTGTATGGATAAGGAAAATGAAGAAGAGAATAGAGTGGTGTAGAAATTTAATCAAGATAGTAAGCGGTAGAGAGTCTGTGGGTCTGTGGAGGCCACAAAAAGCCTGTAACCACACGGCTTTACTGGTCTCTGTGATGGCACTGATCACTTTAATGTCTAGCTGCATCTTCTCCATACTTTAATGATGTGACTATGGATTATGGACATGTGCCTTTCCTAGCTGATCTTAAATTCCAAGCTAAATATAAAATTAATGACATCCTGGGAGCCATGATTCTTCCCTAGTACATCTCACTAAGAACATGGCTTATGAAATCTTTATATCTAGTTGAAATGTGTTTACTAAGTCTTGCCAGGAAGCTCATTTTATGGGAGAAATTACACACAGGCAATATAAATTGCTACAGGGCTAGGAAGCCTCCATTCCAATCAGTCCTCTTCCTCTAATTTAGCAGATTTGCAAAACGAAGTGCCTGGTCTATTCCCGTTCACAAGTTACTAGGCCTGCATAAAGAGCAGTCACTTAATACGAAAAAGTATGGGAGAATATCCGATCTGGCCCCTAGAGCCAGATCCCTTCCCTGCAGCTGCTTCCCAGATATTAGCGTGGAGACCGAGGATCTCTGAAGAGACCTAGACTTGCTTCGATGCCCAGAAACTTCACACTGCAAATCTGCATCACAGCGAACATTTCCTAAGCATAAGGCAAAGAGAACAGCATTCTGGCCGTGGCTTTTCTGCTTCACCGCATGCAAGTGTGAGAAGTCACTTGGAGTCCCAGTCTCCTCTCCAATGAGACACCGAAGACCAGCTGCCTCCTGATGCTCTTAGAAGGGTGGCACAGGTAAAAGCACTTCAAACGCTATGCAAATGTAAGACGTCGTAGTACATATAAAGACACACACATCTGTATCTTGAAGGGTTAAGGGGGGTGCATTATCCAGATGTGGAGGAGTTCACCAGCAACAAAGCAGCAGAGGGCAGACAGAACTCCACTAAGCGACCCCAGAGGAAACGAGCCTAGGAGGAGGCAGTGGATTTCACAGTGACAGGAAAAACAACAGTTCAGGCAAAGGGGTGGGGAGGAGAACTGTATTTACTAGCAGGCCACAGAAGTGGTTCCTGAAGAGGTCTACTACCAGCATGAGGGAGGCTGGAAATGGGAGCTACAATGCAGCAGATGAAACTTGCTCACTAACAGATATTTATTTCCTATAAAAAGCTGCACACTAAACATCATAAACCAAAAGCACCCACAAAACCCTTGTCATCAGATAGGACCACATTTGTTAACATGTTACTTGTTATGGTTCATACAGTGCTGCCTCCATTCACAAACTTAATTCGGTTGCAAAGTGAGTCAAATTTCCCCCTAAGGTTCAATGTAAATAAGGTTACTATAATCTGTTCTGACCCCAGTGAATCTGGTCACAAACCAATTTTGGTCGTGACCAAATCAAATTCTCCTGTAAGGTTCACTGTAAATAAAGTTAATCCATTCTGAGCCATATGTACTCCTTAACCACAAAAATACAGTACAAAGTATAGCACAGTACAGTATGAAGAGAGAGAACCCTAACCTTGCTTGAGGTGACCTCTGGTGTGGAGGACAGGAAGGTGAGCGGGGAGGTTATCGTTTAGAGGAAGAGTCCCCTCTATTAGGATATGGGGAGAGCTCCTTCGGGGCTTTCCTCTTTTCTTTGTCTCTAAGCTGTAAGGACAATTTTAACCAAAAAAAAAAATCTGTCTAATGTCACTTGTTTTTTCCTGCACTGCAAAACCCTACACCGCTCTGTCCGTTACAGTTATTTTGGGGTACTGCTTCTCAAAAACATCCCGGTACTCATTCCATTTCTCCATAGTGGATTTTATCACATCACTGCCAACCACCTCCTTCTGCTCCTCCTCCTTCTCCACCCCCCGCCCAGTCTCCCTCTGCCTTGGTGGAAGACTCCTCCACAAGTACCTTCTGCTGCTCACTCTGAAGTTCAGCAGGTGCTTCCTGCATCAGCTCCTCCCTTTGGTCCTCAACAAGCTCTTCCATGTCTGCACCATCGATGTCCACACCCAAGCTCCTGCACATGGTCACTATGTCCTCCGCTGCCTGCGCTTCAGACCCTTCAAAATCACGTTCAGTGACACACCCTGCCCAGTGTCCTCCGGGCTGAGTATAAGGTCCAGTGTGTGACACCTTCCCAGGCTTTGTCGGTGATGTTGATGTGGTGAAGGTCAATGAAACATCTCTTCCGGACTCTTTCAGAGCCAAGGGTCACTGGTGATGACAGGCAAACACCTGGCAAAGAGCGCTTTTGTGCACAGCTTCTAGGAGTTGCAGATCACTTGCCGGTCCATGGGCTGCAGAGGTGTGCTGTGCTAGGGGAGGGGGTGGCCTTTATGAAGTCACACTCAGTGTCTGTATCACCCAGCAAGGCTGGAGGCTGTGCCAGGGCACTGTCCATCGGAAGAAAGCACCTTTCAGCAGTTGGCTGTCGGAAAGATACTCCTTCATGATGGGTACGAACACCTCATGCAGCCACTCCATGAAGAACCGCCCCGTGACCCGAGCTTTTGCATTTTCCTCCACACAACAGGCAGTCTGGCCTTGTTCTCACTCTGTTCTTTGAATACACAGGGGTCTGGGAACGGTACACCCTCCGGGGACTTGGTCCGTGGCAGTCTCTCTTCCTTCGGCATGATACAGGTTCTGTTCAGCATCCTCTTCCAGAAGAGCCCTGTTTCCTCGAGTTGCACACTTGTTGAGCAACATACCCTTCTGCCCTCATGAATTCTGTGAATTATTTCTTCAGCCTTCTGCAGCAGGCTGATCGGAAACAGAAGCCTCGCCAGGTCTTATCACACTGTGGAGGCCACTTCTCTAGTGGAATTTATCAAACCACCCTCTGCTAGCTTTAAATCATCATGTGTCGCCCTTGTACAGAGGAGTTTCCTGACAGTAAGTCCCTGCGCAATTTCCCGGATGTTTCACAGATCACAGCTTCACTAGCGCTGTCACCTGGCAGCTGTTTCCCATTCACCCACACTAACACAAGTGTTTCCACCTCTTGCAGCACTCTGTCCTCCGCCGGGGTAGCATGGTGACTCCCTCTGCCACATCAGCTCCTTGGACGGCATCTTCATTCTTCAGAACAATTGAGATTGTTGACTTCAACTTCAGCACCTCATAGCCCAAGGCCAGATCAGCCACATGAATACCATGCTCATGTTTTCTACAACTTCCTTCTTCAGGTAAGTGGTGATTTTCCCCGACACCTCCTTAAAATTATTGCTGTGCACTCTCTTTGGAGCCAAGCGGGACTGAATACCGTACACTGCCGTATGTGCTAAAATGCACACCAAAAAAACTTCACAGCAAGTGTGCATAGGTCTGTGACCGCAAACTCAGCTACAGAAAGTCACAACCGTGTGTCAGAGTGGGGAAGATGCTCACAATCACGTTCAGCACTCAATGCAGAGGTCGTGAGCACAAGAAAAATTTTGTCGAATGCTTCTTTTGTTCACAAACCCAACTGTTCGCGAACAGCACCTCCGTGAACGGAGGCAGCACTGTGCCGCGTCTGGTAGGAAGGCGCTGTGGGCGGTGACTGGTTTGTGAGGGTGCTACAACCGTGGTGTCAGGAGCCGGGGTCAGCAGGGCGTGACTGAAAGGCCTCATCTCCCTTCCTCTCCGCTCTTTCTTCTTGAGCACCGTTCCTTGTGTCAGGCTCCTCTGCCATGCTTGTTCCTGCAGCCAGCTGACAGTGCAAAGATTAAAACTTCTAACATGGGAGCTAAAATAAAGCTCTCCTCCTGTAAGTCGCAGGGGTCAGGTATTTTGTCCCAGCAGTGGAGACAGTGACTGAGACACTCGTAAATGCATTTATTGGCCCTCCAGCTTACTGATTAGATATCAGAGGTTTTGAGCGATATCTGAACAGCCAGATCTAGATCAGCGGAAATGATGAATACCATCTTCCCCACTGACTCTGACCCCAGGGCTGTGCTCCCTGCCCACCCTCCTGTGTTGCTTCTCTTTCTACCAGGTCAGAATACAGCTAGAATCTCTACCCTGTATATATTTTTGTAAAGAAGATCACCATGTGCTTCAATCCCAGAAAAACTGTCATGTACAACCGTGTACATTATCCACGGAGATTCTGTGTTCACAGCAGCTACCTCAGTACAGGATAAGTAACATTCTCAACATCCATATTATTTGACTTTTGACCATCAGAAAAACAATAACAAAGGGAAACCCATCTTTATTTCTCTTCCTTAAGGACAATTCTACTATTTTAGAATGATTTGGGAAATTTTTGCAAAAACAGAAATAAGGGAGTCATAATGAGAGCTCATTTAGGGTACAATATTAAAAATTTGATTTCTAATATAAATATCTACGGGCTATCAAGGACCATTCAAATTCTTTGATTCAACCTAGTTGAGTGAGAAGTCAGACTCGAAGTTCACGATCACCAGGGAGAGGGGCACACTCAGGGCTGGCACAGAGGGTTATTAATAGGGCTTCTTATAAACTCTGTAGTCCCCAACGCAGGACTCTCAGAGGCAACACCCGATGAGAATCACTCTTACAGGAGCTCCTGTGCACACAGGACTAGCAGTCACAACGCAGATTTGTCAGCTTGGAGAAAAGGCTGAGAATCCCTGATGTGAAAAAAGATAATCAATAGAAAGACATGCAAACAGATTAAGACTCTGAAGGGAGAAGACAAAAAGCTAAGAGAGCACAGCAGAACTCCATATTTGGGGCTAGAACAAAGAGAAAAGGAAGTCAAAGGGAAGGGTGGAAGAAAGGTATGCTCCCTTCTGGGAGGGATGAATAGGAACATTCTCACCGGAATGCCTATCCAGTCATGTCATGGAAAAAGCTTTAAAACTCTGCTGGTCTCAAAAGAAAATTGTCATAAAATATGTAAAGCTTTGTTCACATTATTAAAGTGAAGAAGCTGGTTTCCATTTAGTAATAGGAGGGAAATTCATCACATGTTACATTACTGGGAAGAAACCATAGAAGCTATTTAAATGAGATGTACAAACAGACAAAAACTTCCGAATCGATTCTAACAGTTAACAGCTAGAGTAGATATTTTTAATCTGTATAACAAAAACTTGTTTTGAGGAGCTCTTAGGGCCAGCTAAAAAGGCAATCACAATATTAAAATACTTTGAATTAAGCACAAGTACAGGTAAAATGACAATTAATTGAAAATTAAATAAGAGCCAGTTATGTTTTTCTTAGTAACCAAAATAAATTTTACAAAGTTATCTGTTTGGCAATACTGAACTAAAGTCCTGTGCTCCCATAACAAGGATAAAAAATTCTTACATTAAAAAATTTGGGGAAATATTCAGAGCAACAAGGACCAATCCACCTCTCCCTAATATGAGACCCTAGGCCCGGGATTTGGCTCAGTGGTTCTGCTGCCTGTTTCACAAGCACAAGGGCCTGAGTTCAATCCCCAGTACCAAAAAAAAAAAAGATGAGACCCTCCGCCACTCTTCCTGAGGGACTCCCACTCTCCTGGAGACATTCCTCAATCCACAAGCTGAATAAAATCATCTCCTTAATTGCCCGGTACATCTTATCCTTGACATTTTCAACTGCTTCAACATTTCAAAAGTTTTCCAGAAAATCAGCAACAAGGAAAATAATGAGACCATATAAAACTTACTTTTGATGCTATTTTTCAGGATATATATATATGTATGTAAAAAAGCAGGTAAATAAAATTTCATGAAGTATATTCAAAAATCAATTGATTACACTAGCATCACAGCTCCAAGAAAGAATGCATCTATGGAAAGCTCACTTTGCAGGATAGTTTACAATGAGCTAGGAATATAGCCCGGTGGTAGAATCTCTGTCAAGTGTATGTGAGGTGCTCTGAGTTCAAACTCCAGCACTGCACACACACACACTTTATGAGAACCACAACCATTTCATATTTGTATTTAAATACCAAGGATAAAATACTAAGAAAGGGCACCCAACTCCCTAACAGCAGGAAACATTCCAAACTGAGTCACCCAATGGACAGCAGGTAGCATTGCAGTATAGTGCCAGGTTTGACCAATTCTAGCAATGCAGGAAAAAGAAAAATTACAGCTTTGCCAAAGGAACAAGGTGTTAACCATAAACATGACTTAAATATATGGTCTTCTGGGGCCATCCCATTCAAATGTCAGAGGCCTCCTTAATTTTGAATTCAAGGCATAATTCAGTGAGGGCAGGTCCAACTGATGTTTTAAGACTCATAACTTCCCATTCAGAGGGAAGTCAATAAATACACATCTTATTTCTATACATCAGTGAGATTTCTCACATAAATAAGTGCCCAAACATAAGGGGACAAAGGGTCCAACTACATGTCATTTTGGGCCCTGAATAAATTAATTCAGAATACAGTTCCAGGGTAGAAAGTTGCTGCAGTAGCAGCCATATTTGATAAAATCATATTAATATGAACTAATAATTAGTAACCCATTTTGTGAACATTGCACAAAGGATTCACCTGCATTGTCTCCTTTGGTGTAAAGGAGAAAATCCTCAGAAGTGTTTAAAACCTGAGCACTGGACAGATGTAAAAGGAGAGGCTCAGGGAAGCTGTACTGAATGTCCAAGATGTCAAAATTAGTGAAAAGTAAGTGTAACGGTAGAGATTATTAAGGAAAGATTCAAAATGTATCCTTCTGATAGTCAAATGATACCACTGTTTGTAGTAGACCAACAGAATTGGGCCAAACAAAAGTATTTAAAGTGAACAGTTTAATGAGTTCAAAACAATGATTAGTAATTAACACATCAATCTTCTGAATGTCAGTGGATAGCTCTAAAGTGCTAGAGCTTCCTTGAAAAGCTTCTTGTTTTCCATTGATTAAATATTCTCTCCAAAATCTTGTTTACATTACTAATTTGCTCAGCAAACCCTTGTAAACTTCTACCTGATCCCTGAAGAGTTAGCACATATTTTTAATTAAAATGGTCTTGAGTAAATTGAGTTATTATTTTTATAGGTTTTAGTACTAACAGTATTAACTGCAAGGAAGACAGATTAAAAAACAAGGTGCAGGGCCGGGGATTTGGCTCAGTGGTTCTGGCGCCTGCCTGTGAGCACAAGGACCCGAGTTCGATCCCCGGTACCAAAAAAAAAAAAAAAAAAAAAA